ATTGTTTGTTTTAGACATTTTTTGTTTCGAGTGCTTGCTTTGGATATTGATATAGTTATTTTGAGCATTATTTGCTTTGGATTTTAAAATTTTGAATTTATATTTTAACTTGAAATAAAAAACGGGGTAGGCCCGTGCCCGACCCCAAGCCTCGCCCCGTTGCCATCACTACTTGTGGAGTTCTGTGGCAGATGATTATTATGAAACATGAAAATATGCTGTCAGTAGTTAAATAAATTTCGGCAACTCTAAATGTTAAGTCGCAATTAAACAGTCTAGTCTATTGCACCTACTATAATCTGACAGCAAAGGCTAGAAACAAGAACAAATCTTCAAGCACCTTTAGATTCTGTCTATCTTTTAATTCCTTCTTTTTTCTTGCATATAATCGATTCAAAAGCCTGATATGTAGATCATCAGATATATTTCTCAAGAGTTCTAAATTCTCCTCCTGCAATATATAAATAATACTAGTATCAGATAAAAAAAAAGACGATAGAGGAGCCTCAGTAGAAGAATTTTCTAGCTCAAACTTCACTATGCACCCACTGAGTATATATAAGATTTATAGTAAATCAAATTCAGATGAAAATTCAACAATTGAAAAAAATCAAATTATCGTTTCTTAATCGTTAATGTTTCGCTGCTGCTAAGTGTGTGTAAGAGAGAGAGAGAGAGAGATTGAGATTGCAGGTTTGGAATCGAACACAAAAGGAATAGGGTTGAAGGAAGTGAAAGAAAGATATGAAGTTTTGAGGATTTGCCTCTTTTATTCATGTAGATGTAGATTTCAATTCAATATTAATTGACACTGTTCTAAAATGCGTAATGCGTAACAATGCGTCGATGCCGAGAATTAAGAATCACAAGTTTAGGAGTGTCAATACGAAAATAAGCGTCATAATGCTTTTCGTATTTTTAAGGCATTAAATATATTTTTATATAAAAAATAGATTTTTTACAAAAAAAAAATAAAAAAAATAAAAATAAAAATTGGGCGGCATAATGCTCGCATTAGGCGCGCCTAGGCGGGATTAGACGGGTGCATTGCTCCGCCTTTTGATGGAAAACACATTTTTCCGGGCATTCCGGAATTCGAAACGTTTGGCCGGGCGTCGCGCCTAGGCGGCGCATTTGCGCGAATTTTAGAACACTGCACTTAATGAATACTGAGTTTGAAGTAAATTTCAAAATAATTATTAAAATAATAACCACTAATTTTTTGTATCGATTACACTAATGATTACTTGATTAAAAATATTAACATTGATGGTATCGTTTAATACCAAAGTCGAAATGAACAACATTATGTATTACGCCACATTAGTCTGGTTAATTGAGCTAATGATCATTGAAGTTTGAGTACATTTTAAAATTGTTGTTGGAGAAAATTCTTATAATAATTGTCATTGAAATTTTTAATGGTTACACTACCCCAAATTTCTTTCTCAGTTTATGAGTTACTCTAATTCCCCACGTTCGTTCTTAATTTCTCCAATTGCCTTTATCTAGGGCTCTCCAATAAACTATATATAAGATATTGATTTTCCAAGTCCTCTTTGTATTTTCTTGCATCGTTCCTTTAATTTACCCCAACTTCCTCTAATTTAATGTTTTACATCCCCAAAAGAAATGGAAACAAAGTTCGATCCATGGGCCTATGTTGTTTCTGGTGTCACCGGAGGACAAGTCAAATTATGAAGACTTTCGACTACTATAACAGCTCTAGAACTTGTGACCGAAGCCTACATTAATGGCTTGTAACAACTTCGTTAATAGGGGAAATTGCCCCACATGGAGTCTATAGAAGGTATTTCGCGCGGGTAGTCGCTAACAATAAAAGGGAAATTCAGACGATTGTGTAAATGATAAATCTCTTGAGATAAAGTCCCAAAAATGGGTGTTTTATTGATGAGAGTTACATTAGAAATAAACAGAATGCCTCCAAGGGGCACAAGTACAAGAGTACTGAAAGAATGATAGTTAAAGTTAATATAAGAAATTCAAATTACATATTTTATGTTTGAGAGTGTTTGATTCGGGATCCTTTCTCTATGTCTATTCTTTCCTTTTATATTCCCATGATGATTTTTTCGTAACAAATAGCTTGGAAACTGCTACCCATTTTCTTCATGGTGGCTAACTAGTCGTGGAACTGTCATCTCT